TACTGTACTTGTGTGTGCTGTGAGTGGAGACTGACAGAGTTACTGTACTTGCGTGTACAGTGAGTGGAGACTGACAGAGTTACTGTACTTGTGTGTACTAGTGGAGACTGACAGAGTTACTGTACTTATGTGTACTAGTGGAGACTGACAGAGTTACTGTACTTGTGTGTACTGTGAGAGGAGACTGACAGAGTTACTGTACTTGTGTGTACTGTGAGTGGAGACTGACAGAGTTACTGTACTTGTGTGTGCTGTGAGTGGAGACTGACAGAGTTACTGTACTTGCGTGTACAGTGAGTGGAGACTGACAGAGTTACTGTACTTGTGTGTACTAGTGGAGACTGACAGAGTTACTGTACTTATGTGTACTAGTGGAGACTGACAGAGTTACTGTACTTGTGTGTACTGTGAGTGGAGACTGACAGAGTTACTGTACTTGTGTGTGCTGTGAGTGGAGACTGACAGAGTTACTGTACTTGCGTGTACAGTGAGTGGAGACTGACAGAGTTACTGTACTTGTGTGTACTAGTGGAGACTGACAGAGTTACTGTACTTATGTGTACTAGTGGAGACTGACAGAGTTACTGTACTTGTGTGTACTGTGAGAGGAGACTGACAGAGTTACTGTACTTGTGTGTACTGTGAGTGGAGACTGACAGAGTTACTGTACTTATGTGTACTACTGGAGACTGACAGAGTTACTGTACTTGTGTGTACTGTGAGTGGAGACTGACAGAGTTACTGTACTTGTGTGTACAGTGAGTGGAGACTGACAGAGTTACTGTACTTGTGTGTACTGTGAGTGGAGACTGACAGAGTTACTGTACTTATGTGTACTAGTGGAGACTGACAGAGTTACTGTACTTATGTGTACTAGTGGAGACTGACAGAGTTACTATACTTATGTGTACTGTGAGTGGAGACTGACAGAGTTACTGTACTTATGTGTACTAGTGGAGACTGACAGAGTTACTGTACGTATGTGTACTGTGAGTGGAGACTGACAGAGTTACTGTACTTGTGTGTACTGTGAGTGGAGACTGACAGAGTTACTGAACTTGTTTGTACTGTGAGTGGAGACTGACAGAGTTACTGTACTTGTGTGTACTGTGAGTGGAAACTGACAGAGTTTCTGTACTTGTGTGTACTGTGAGTGGAGACTAACAGAGTTACTGTACTTATGTGTACTAGTGGAGACTGACAGAGTTACTGTAGGCCCTACTTGTGTGTACTGTGAGTGGAGACTGACAGAGTTACTGTACTTGTGTGTACTGTGAGTGGAGACTGACAGAGTTACTGTACTTGTGTGTACTGTGAGTTTAGACTGACAGAGTTACTGTACTTGTGTGTACTAGTGGAGACTGACAGAGTTACTGTACTGGCGTGTACTGTGAGTGGAGACTGACAGAGTTACTGTACTGGCGTGTACTAGTGGAGACTGACAGAGTTACTGTACTTATGTGTACTAGTGGAGACTGACAGAGTTACTGTACGTGCGTGTACTTGTTGAGACTGTGAGAGATACTTTACTTATATGTACCAGTCGTGCAAAGAGGTTGGATTTAGTATTAACCTCTTTGCCGTGGAGAGTTACAGCGTTACTGTATTAGTGTGTACTGTGATTGGAGACGGAAAGAGTTACTGTAATTTGCTTAATGGTTGCTCTTCTCATTTGGCGTTGGAAACGTGACAGTTATTGCTACAAATATTTCAGCGACGATGTGAATGTTGCCAAATGTTCTTTTTATCTTAGTTCGAATACTTAAAGAGGATTTTTTTTTACCTGCTGGGAGTTCTCAGGGGGGGGGGGGGGGGGGCTTTGGTGCGAGGTATGTGTACAAGTATGACTTTTTCTTTTCTTTGACGCCTCCTAGTCTCGGGTAAGTACGTGTAGTCGTGCAGGTCTAGATCTAGTATCTTCTTTCACTTTAAGAGTTCTGCTGTTGGCATAGTCTCTTCTTTCACATTGTGAGTTCTCCTGTAAACAATAGAGCAAGTATCTTCTTTCACACCGTGAGTTTTGCTGTAGATCTAGTATCTTCTTTCACTTTGTGAGTTTTACTGTAGGCCTAGTCTCTTTTTTCCCATTTTGAGTCCTGCTACAGGCCTAGCCTCTTCTTTCACACCGCGAGTTCTGCTGTAGGTTTGGTATCTTATTTCACATTATGAGTTTTTCTGTAGGCCTAGTCTCTTATTTCACATAATGAGTTTTGCTGTAGGCCTAGTCTCTTCTATCACATAATGAGTTTTGCTGGGAGTTTTCTCCTGTCGCTCGATAAACAAAAAGTGTCACGTTGGGACAAAGAGCGCGCTCCGGGGTGACCTGAAATGAGCCAGAGTGTCTAGGATTTGTGTCTAGGATATGTGTCTAAGACATGTGGCTTGGATGTGTGTCTTGGATGCGTGTCTAGGATATGTGTCAAGGATATGTGCCTAAGACATGTGTCTAGGATTGTGTCTATGGTATGTGTCAATGAGGCGTGTCTAGGATATTTAGAGT